AAAAAAACAAGCATCGACAATTTCCATTTGAAAACACGTAATTTTGATTTTATCGACAAATATTCATAAGCGCACATAAAGTTTGTCGCTTACTGCTCCATACAAATTTTAAGCGCCAATACGTATGTATGCGTGTTCGCTTAGCAAACTGCTTTAGGCAAACTTTTAATTTACGTATGTTCTTTTCATGTCTTCTATTTGCAAGTTCGTGCGTTGCGTACTTTTGCAAATATTTCTGTCCTTGAGAGAGAACAGACAAAAATTCATTAGAATTTTAGTGTTGAGAGCTTTCTGCTGGAAGAATACGTGAATGCACCTAACAATGAGCAGCAAACCATGTTATGTATTTTATTTTAAGCCAACCAAACCTTTAATATTGGGTGTGAAAGCGTGTGAGATAGGAGGAAGCGTTGAGAAATCTATTAAATTTGCATACGTTTTTTAAATTACCCTACAAAAGTATTGAATATTTTTAACATTTTTTTTTAGCTATAAAAAACTGGCGCTGAAGTGGCATCCTGATAAAAATCCTGACAACTTGGAAGAAGCTAATAAACGCTTTAGAGAGCTATCCGAAGCATACGAGGTTTTATCCGATGGTAAGTTTATTCCAAACGATATGTGTATATATATAAATACTTAAATACGTACATATTTAATTTACATGATTTTAAGTACTTTTGTTTAGTAAATCTTTATATCACCGGAAATCAAGCAGAAAATTTGAAAGGAGGCGAACAAAATTAAAATCGAATGCTCTTGCTGCAACACTTAACGATATCCCAAATTATTTAATTTTGTTGCGCCTTGTTTCCGATTTTTGAAGAATATACATATCTGCATTTGAATATACTTCCCTGACATACATACATGCATATGAAATCGATTATAGCACGTAAACGGAAAATATATGATGGGCGAGCAACCCTCAATAAGGAAGGGTCAAACTATAACTTCGCGAATTCCACTGGATATACAAGTAGCAGCGGTTACAGATATAGAACTCGTGCAGATCCTAAACGTAACCATAACTTCAACTACAATGATGACGACTACAGTAGACATGAAAATAGTTCAACGAAACGTGGAAACCGTCATCAGACCTTCACCTTCCGCAATCTATTTGAGTGGACACCATTTCATAAATTATTTGGTAAAAATAGTACTTTCAAGGACTTTGCTACATGCTTGTTTTCTGCTTAATGGTTTCTTAGAGCTTCCGCATTTCTGCACAGATGTATGTATGTTCTCCCATTTTTGTTTACTAACGCTTACCTGAAGCTCGCATTCATAACTACAATACCCATTTAAGATTGATTTCTTAAAATACCCACGTCTGATATTTCTATGCCAATTCGGAGTAATTTTTTATGTTTAACCCTACAACCTTGAACTTAAAAATAGCATGACTTAAAAAGTATCACCAAATTGTTTTGTACGATACTTTTTTAACATTCAAATTGCCAGCGGATGAAGCTTTAACTAAATCAACGTTTGCGAGCCACAAAGAAATTCCAACAGCATTTGGAAAAGGTTGAACGGAGGATAAGCGATTGGAGAAAGAGTAAATTTATCCAAATTCGCTAGCAAGAGAACTACTAAGAAGGATTTTCGAAAAGGCTAAAAAGAAATGACTATGCCGAGGTATAAAAATAATGCGGTGAACGATATTAAATTTAAATTTGACATTTGCAAATATCCCTCGTGATATTTAGTAAAATTTAATAAGATATCTCCACTGACGACTTTTAATAAATTTTTGAGAGGGTATCTCTAATGATATTTTTGAATATAAGATCTGCTTCAGTTCAAATCTGGCAGGTATTAAATAGCAAAAAAACTAATTTAAACGTGAATAATTCAGTCGAAACTTTCTTAGTACCTTCTTTTATTATATTTTTTTTATATGGGAGTTGAAGTCGGTGAATATATCCGGTTTTGAACCGGAAAACCGCTTTTTTCTATTAATTAACTGAACCATTAACCGAACCGAAATTTTCCACAAATGTTTGATCCGAACCGAAAACCGAACCACTTTCTATAAAGGTTTAAAGGTACGTTTCAACCAATTTTCAATAATAAATGTACCCACTTTTTTCTTTTTGTTAAACATGGTAATACCTACCATGTGACAATATCAAATGTAAAGGCAACCCATCTCATTTGACAGACACTTGACCCTTAACCTTGTGCGTTGTTGCACTTGACACTTAAACTTGCGCGTCAGTTTTTGTTTTTCGAACCGCTGAACCGAACCGAAACCCCGGTTGAAAGATCAAAAAACCGCTTTGACGAACCAATCCAAAAGTGCAAAAACGGTTCGAACCGCTGAACCGAACCGACCAAATTTTTCATCCGGTTCACGTCCCTGATTTAAACGAAAGATTTATAAATATTATTAGAATTAATTTCCACGCCAAAATACCCGTACTTTAGATATGACACCCGCCATTATTACTTGGGCATCCCTTTCGTTGATCGATTCAGCTTGTTTTCGCCACATAATGCAGAACTGCGTTATTCTTGAAGCCGTGCATTTTTTTTTTTTTTCTAATGTTGATTTCATACGGGCCCAATAACGCTCAATCGTTTACAGCTCTGGGCAATTGGAGGATTGGCCGCTTTTAGTACAATGCTGATTCCATTTTGTGTATAAAACTCTTGCGCTTTTTTGCACAATGGCTTGTTGCCAGATCAGGCCAAAACAATACAGGCTCTCAGAACAACACTCCAGGTGCAACAACACGTTCAGAAATATTCGGATTCCTTTTCAAAGTCCTTAGAACATCCTTCTCAGCTATTTCATTTATACTGCCTGATTTTTCGCCAGATTCCGCCTTTTTCTCAATGCTGGCATTTTTCTTGATATTTGAGAATACATTTTGAACCGTCGACCTTCCAATTGTCAGCAATTTTACTAACCGACATGGGAAATGTGTGGCNGCATTTTTCTTGATATTTGAGAATACATTTTGAACCGTCGACCTTCCAATTGTCAGCAATTTTACTAACCGACATTGGGAAATGTGTGGCTTTTGCATGAATTCGTCCAAAATCAATTTTCTTTGCTGAAGTTCTTTGCTCTCCACATCACTTATTTTTAAAGTTACGCATATGAAAATTAACTGTAATAAAAAGGAACGATAGCAAAATCACTATATAAACGGCTGATAGAGTAGTCGCTAACAAAGTTGTGCTATGTAGAGTGCGATCAGATTTCAAATGAGGCAGATCTTATGTATATCGAATNATAAACGGCTGATAGAGTAGTCGCTAACAAAGTTGTGCTATGTAGAGTGCTGTCAGATTTCAAATGAGGCAGATCTTATGTATATCGAATCCCTCTTTTTAACCGACTTCCAAAAAAGGAGGTTATCAGTTCGTCGGAATATATATATATTTTTTTTTTTTGTATGTATGTTACCGCATAACTTTGGACCACGTCAACCGATTTCGATAGTTCTTTTTGCATCGGAAAGGTAGTATCTCAGAGGTGGTCCCATACTAATCTGGTTAAGATCCGATCAGCGGATCATGAGATATATATATATATAT